CATATGACCCAGCAATCCCACTCCTGGGCATATATCCAGAAGGAATCCTAATTCAAAAAATACACCTGCACCCCAATATCCATAGCAGCACTATTTACAATAGCCAAGTCATGGAAACAACCTAAATGTCCATCGACGGATGATGGATAAACAAGATGTGGTATATTTATACAATGAGATACTACTCAGCCACAAAAAATGACAACATAATGCCATTTGCAGCAACATGGATGTCCCTGGAGAATGTCATTCTAAGTGAAGTAAGCCAGAAAGAAAAAGAAAAATACCATATGAGATCGCTCATATGTGGACTCTAAAAAAGAAGAAGACAATGAACTTAAATATAAAACAGAAACAGACTCACAGACATAGAACACAAACTTGTGGTTGCCAGGGGCAGGTGGGTGGGAGGGACAGACTGGAGTCCAAGATTTGTAGATGCTGACAGGTATATATAGAATAGATAAACACATTTATACTGTACAGCATAGGGAAATATGTTCAAGATCTTGCAGTAGCTCATGGTGAAAAAGAATATGCAAATGAATATATGTATATTCATGTATGACTGAAAAATTGTGCTACACACCAGAAATTGACACAACATTGTAAAATGACTATAACTCAAAAATAAAAAGTTTCTTACTGAAGGCAATGGTGGGGAAAGGCAAATGCAAGTCGGCTGAAAACAAATCTGGAGGTATCTGAGACGTTAACAAACATTACTTCCATTTTTTTTATGGCTAGCTTTTATGAGCTAACCTGGACAGAATTTATGGATAGGTCCACTGGATTGAAACATGTAAAGTGACACAGGCCTTTATCTCATCCTGCAGTCTTCAGAGACCCTCCATAATCTGATTCTATCTTTCCTGTTCAACTTTCTTTTATTCACTCAACATGTTTTTTTCTAATACTGCTGGGTTTTTGTTTTGTTTTGTTATTTTATACTCAGATTTAAGTTACAATTTAACTATTAAGTATTTTTTTCCAAAATTTGATATTAGGTCAAGTGTAACTTTTTCTCTCAAACAGATTATACATATATATAGAAGAGCACTGATCACAATGAGATTTTATTCTCTGTGTTCCACTCTCTAGTGCCATTCTCCTAAGTCATGAAATGGTAAATTCTACACTCTATCTTTCCATTCTTTTAATCACACTATTCCTTAACTTCTGTTATCACGTGATAGTTTGTTACCCTCCTGCTTCTTTTATCTTTATCTAATTCGACTTTTTTATTTGTTTTTTTTAACTCTTTCTAATGTTTAAATGTAGGCATTCCTCAAGACTTATTTCTTGGTCCTGCAGTCTGCTTTTTCTTACTCCCTTCTTCAGTGTCTTTATACAGTCCCTAAATTTCACAATCCTTGGCTGAGTTCGACTGAGTTTGATCTGTTTAGGATGTCAGTTATAGAAGCTCTTTACCAACATATCTCAGCATCAGCAGAGTTATAATCAAGGTAATAAGTAGAGTCTGGGTTTTAGAGGATGTCTGAAATAACCAAACTGAACTCACTGAGTTTAAGGGTAATATGATTACCTGTACTCAGTAAGGTTAAGATCCAGTAATTTGGTGGGAACAGAAGTCCCTGGTGGTCATCTAGGTCTTGTCAGATGCACCCTGAAAACAAATCAGGACATTTTCATTAAACAGATGGAGACTAGTCAGCTCCTGGACCTTTAACCTCCAAGTAAAGTACCTGTCCTGCCTTGCCCTTTGGTGGGGTCTTGCCCTCCACATCCCAGGATAGCTGTGAGACTCATTGTTTCCTTCTGCATTCTGCGCTGGCAATTTATGTGATAGAGGCCATGCGTAGACTCATATCTATCACAGGTTATTAGACTACATTAAGATGGGTTTGTCAACAGAGTATAAGTTATATCTGAAGGCTTTTTTCCTCTGTAATGATGTCACATTAGCAATCTAAGTACTTAGGGCCATTATTATTTTTTAAAGACCTTCTTTTAAAAAATTTTATTTATTTATTTATTTATTTATTGGGGGGAAGTAAGTAGGTTTCTTTATTTATTTTAATGAGGGTACTGGGGATTGAACCCAGGACCTTGTGCATGCTAAGCAGGCACTCTACCACTGAGATATACCCTCCCTCTCAGGGCCATTATAGTTTATTTAAAATATAAGTCCTCATTAAGATTAAAAATCACATAAAGCATTCTATTCAACATCCAGTCTTTATCTTTTAATGCTTGGATTTATGTTCGGAAATAGCCAAGAGTCATATTTCTTCTTCCTAACTATCATTTTCTAATTTTCTGCCAAATATACATGTGTTTATTTAAATACAGTCTTCTATTCTCTTTTCCTGTTCTTTGTTCTTTATATTTGATATTTATTCTCTGTCTGTCTGTCTGTCTGTCTCTCTCTCTATATATATATAGCAATATTTTACATAAGAAAGAAAACCAAAACTATTATATTTCACAAAGGTAAATATAAGTGTGCCTGGTAGCTTTTAAAACTATAATTTTTAAATGGGTTCTTGAAGAAGTGCATTATTATACTCATTATAAAGGCTACTTCAAAAACTATAACTAAATACCAGGGTTGGTGTCTTTAAATACTCTATCTTCTGATTCAGAGTTTTACATACAGGGCCTGCTGAAATTTAAAAGATACATATATGGAGCCTGAAATAAATCTGGCTATTCTGAGCCTTTTTAAATCAGATTCATTTAGACCAAAATTGAGGGAAGTATGTATTCTTCTCAAACTGTGTCCTCTGATGCCCACATGATTTAAGAATTTTTGCTCCTTCTACCACAAATTTTAAAAATTTACACCAATTTGCATTAAAGATTCATCAGCTCAGTTAAAAACATCTGTACATGAATTGAATGTCTCATGTTTTTTCGGACAAACTTTGCAAGGTGCACTTTTACATTATCTCAGTTGAAAAGTCCTCAATTAACATATGTTTTCCAAGCCCCATAAACTTATGAGTGTCAGGAAACCCCTATGCCCCAACCCTTTTATCTGAAGAAACTTAACACCTCTTGTACCCTCAAAGGTGTTAATTTACTTTTAAATATTTTTGTTACTCAAAAAAATTTAGTGACAGATAAAATGAGCTAATTTTCTCCATTTGAGGTATATTCACAGAATTATATTTAAACATATTGAAGGCCTGACGGAAAGAATCAAACAGCATCTCTATCAAAGAATACTAAATCAAGCAATCAAAGCTCACTTCAGAATAATGTTGTAAACACTAGAAAAAGGACACATAGTGCTGAGTAAGAAGGACTTATTAAGGTCTCCTGTATTTTCCTTCTCTTTCAACTTACCCTTTATCTTCATTCTCAGCAGTACAAATTCCTCCACAAGATATGCTTCACCAAGCCCAGC